CGCATATTAAAATACCCTTGAAGATAAAATCATATACCCTTCTCCTTAAATCTCAGATTAATAAACCCTTTTTGTTCTTGTATCATCTTTTTTTCATATACCCTTCGTTTCATAAACCCTTCAAGGGTTTAGCATGATTTGTAGAAAGGACAAGGGTTTATTATTCTACTCTTTTTTTTTACAGTGTATGGCTATTATTACAATGGTTTTCAAGAAGTTGAACATTCCTTTATCACCTTCCAAGACTATCGGTCCTGTTACTAGCCTCGAATACTTGGGGATTATTCTCGATACTGATGCTTTTGAAGCCCGGATTCCTGTTGATAAAATCAATCGAATGTGCAACCTTATTCATCAATTATCTAGGAAGAAGCGATGCACTAAACGAGAACTTTTACAACTTATAGGCCATTTTAATTTTGCCACACGTATAATTATTCCTGGTAGGAGTTTTTTGTCCTATCTTTTTCACGTATCATGTTCTGTCGACGAACTGCACTATCATGTACGGTTGGGTAAAGAAGCTCGTATTGATTTATCAATGTGGGAAGAATTCCTTACGCGTTGGAATGGTCGTTCTTTATTTCTTGAATCTTCTTTAATTACCAATGTCGATCTTTGTTTATTTACTGATGCAGCTGGCAGTTACGGTTACGATGGAATATTTGGATCTAAATGGTTTAGTGGTAATTGGGACGATGACTTTATTCGATTAGCTCATCACAAACGAAATATTACTTTACTTGAATTAATGCCGATCGTAATTTCAGCTGTCTTGTGGGGTGCTAATTGGTCTCGTCGTCGTATTATATTTTATTGTGATAATCAAGCTCTAGTTTATATATTGAATAAACGAAGGTCTGCTAACTCTATTATCATGATGTTTATAAGAAGGCTCACTCTACTTTCACTTAAATACAATTTTCATCTAATGGCATTACACATTGCCGGTGCAACAAATGGCATTGCTGATGCGATTTCTCGTAAGCAATGGACTCGCTTCCGTCATCTCGCTCCTTGGGCTGATACATTTCCATATCAGATTCCGAACCTAGCAGAACTTATTTATCCTAAATTTTTCTGATTCATTAATACATGTTTCTTATTGATTTCTATCTATCTATTTAGGGCGTGTGACAGTCTGCACCAAGCACTTACAATTTTCGTTGTATTCTTCTAGTTCTTTTAATTTTATTAAAAAATTGACTCGGCGATATTGGCTATTATCTCTTGCTCCTTCTACACGTCGTTCTTATGCCACTGGTTTACGGATTTTTCAACAGTTTTTGTTTTTTAGCAATATTAAACGTCGTTTACATCAATGTTTTGATGAGAAAACTATTCAATACTTCATCAGTTATTGTATTGGAGTGTTACATATTCGTTCAAGCTCCATTCGTTCATATCTTGCTGCTATACGATATTATTGTCTAATGATAGGTCGTACTGATCCCTTACGTCATTCAAATGGCACGTGGAAATTTTCTGTTAGTACTTTACTTAAAACAGCTGAGAAATTCAATTCACGATCACAGCGCCATCGTCTACCGATTTGCAGTAAACTTTTATCACGTATCTGTCATAAATTAAATGGATCGTTCTTCGATATTTATTGGGATTCTCTACTACGTGCTTCTTTATGCTGTGCTTTCTATGGCTTTCTACGTCCTGGTGAATTTACAATCAATAAATTTAACGCTTCGCGCAATTTGACACTTTCTGATATGCATATAAATCGTAATTCGGCTATATTTCATTTGAAACGATCCAAAACCGATCGATGTAATTATGGTGTTTATATTCGTTATTACCGTACAAATAATTGCTTATGTCCTATAAGTCATCTTCATACATATATTAAACACAGATCGAAACTATTTGGTCACCTATCATCAAATTCATCTCCAATGTTTATTATGCCGACTGGGCGTGCTCTAACTCGAACAGAATTCGTGAAACGTTTAAGAGAAGTAATATCAAGCTTCGGTATCAATAGTTCTCTTTATTCGGGTCATTCACTACGTATTGGTGCTGCTTTAACGGCAGCAAAAGCTGGACTACCAATTTATTTGATTAAAATTCTTGGTCGCTGGTCATCGGAAGCTTATCGACGTTATATTTCTGTGTCATCTTCGACTATATCGAATGCTTTCCTTCTTATGTCTAAAATCTAATCATAAATAGGGGCTCCACTCTAAATCTCTTCGAGTTTTAGAGCTAAGTGGCCTTTTCCACCCCTATTTATTCTGTCTAATTTTCTATGTATTGTTGCATTTCGCTATTTTGCTGCCAAATATATAGTTAAGCTCAAGTTGAGCATGAACGATCTTAATCGTAACAATTTATTGAAATTGAGAAAGCTTCAAGTTCTTTGTTTCTATTCTTATCCCAAAATAGATAAGACATGTCGACAATACAATTCTACTATATTTTTATCTCTTAGAATAAGAATAATTAAATATTTGAAGTTTTCACTATCGAAAAATTTTGTGTTAGATCAAAAGTTGAAATGAAATCTAGGCTCAATTTCAAGTCTTTCTGAAAATGTTCAATCAATAGATTTAGAATTGAGTATATTTAATTTGTTTAACACTAATGTACAAATCCGTGTTCCTAGTGTTTTATTTTCTGATTCAATAAAAAGAAATAAAAGATTTAAAAGATCTTTTGCATATGCATGTAACTCATCAAAACATTTCTTTATTTAATAATTTAGTTCATATTTTCGATGAACTGTCGACGAGTGATAATATCTGAAAACTACTCAACAATATATAATAAAATACAAACCGTAAAGTGAATAATTAATATCATCATTGATATAATCATTTGAAAATGATTTAACATATTACTTTTGAATAGCTTGCGTAAAAGAATTTCCAAATTGTATTCTTTGTCGTCGAATAAAAGATCCATTTGATGGATTTTTTTGTTTTATAATAAACTTTCCATTATACGTCCCATTATGTTTTCCTTGTTGATTCTACCATTCAATACCAATCCATTCACCTGGATGATTATCAACTAAACCAAAATAACATATTGTTGCTGGATGTTTTCCATCAGCTAATATATGGTCACCGATTTTCATCTAAAATAATAAACAAAAAAAATAGTTCTCTTTATTTAAATATCTTCATCAATATTAGCTAGATCGAATTTTTCATCATAGATAATTTTATCTTGTTTATTAACCTCCTGAATCCCGAGAATTCTTTCGTTCTGTTCGAAGCTAGAGAAAAATTAAAAAATCACTCTTTTGCGTCTGTCGCTCTCAATCAGCTGTATATATGTTCTGTATTTTATCACTTGATCTGTGGTCTGGTGTAACGGATTGGTGTCGTATCATACATTTGTTTCTGAGCTACACTTACTACATACACACCAGAGCTCCGCGTGGGATGGGACAATCCCATCCCATCCCATACGTCCCATGGGATGCAACTTTTTAAATAAAAGCTCATGGGATGGGATGGGACGGAAATTTTTTGAGAGTCGTCCCATCCCATGGGACAAAAATTTCTTCGTCC